AAAATAAAAATGAATCTGAAAACTAGGGATTGAAAATAAGGAACTGAATTAAAACAAGCATAACTAACAAAATAGGGCAGTTATATGTATCATTATCTGATGTGGTAATAAAGGTGCTTTTATGTCACAACCATATCAAACACTAAACCTTTTTTCTTGTAATTCACAAGAATATGTATTGTAGATTTTTGAAGCATAGAAATGTACTATCCGGAACATCTTCATAAGCATTTATAGCTCAATGCTAGATAAACATGTCAACCCTTCAGTTCAATTTAAGATTTTGTTTTTTTATACCCCATTACTGGCAAGACAAGTGTCTCATTAAAAATAAATAAAATAATCCCATGACATCATAGATCATCAGACTACTATGATGATGATAAGGCTTCATTGTATTTCTCAGAACAATGGAGCTTACCTGGAAGTAACCATCTCTTCTTCCAGTAATATATGACAGTTTGTATAGAGATAGAGATGAGTAATCCCTGGCCTAGGAGCATGACTCTAAACTACCTCAATCAGAATTTGAACTTAGTTTGTCAATTTCATTTTTGATCATTGGATTATCTCTACACTTCATTGTATTGATTAGCATTTTTAAGGATATCACTTATTATTTTGGAAAAAATAACATTCTTGTGATGACTGATAAAAACTTTTTACACTATTTACATTGTTCAAACTGTTGTCCTCATCTTTATTGCCATATTCACAACATTTTGGTTGTTGAAAGGTCCGGTCTTCTTCAGGAGTGTACAACACCCAAAATGTCATGAATATGACAATAAACCTGAGGATAACAGTCCGAACAATGTAAATAGTGCAAATAGTTACAATACCTTATTTCAGAAATATAGAGTGAGAAAAACTACATTTGAAAGAAAATTTGAACTCCAAGTATATATATATATATATATATATATATATATATATATATATAAAAAAAGGAACTAAATTCTTTATTAGAAATGCCACAGACCAATTTATTTTCTCATACTTATTTGAGGAAGAGTCCCTCCACCAATTACAGAAGCTGTTCTATTTTTATTGTTATTAGCCACTCCTGAATTTTTTCTCGATTTCAGGCAATTTATTTTATAAAAAATAAGTAAAAATTAAATAATGCCAAAAGTATTATTGCTATTTTCATCATTGTCTCTTTCATATGATCTTATACTGTAAATTATAATCATTTCACTGCATTGCAATTTATTATGAACGCTAATAATAACACTTATTTAGCTTCTAAAAGTTTGAAACTTGAAATACTGATAACTCTGAGTTCTATTACCATAGAAATAACTTTTTTCAGATTGAATTTGTCTAAAATTAACCAGTCTTAAATTAACTCAAATTTAAATTCAATTTATAAGCTACTGATACATTAATCATTTATTGTCAGATTAAAAATAAATCCATTAATTCTTTTAAAATTACTTTGTTTATATTTCAGATATAAAACTGAGCAGATATGGGCTCTTTAGAAAAAATAATCTGAGTGAAGTGCTTTCCTTAAATAGGGTAAAAAGATCCTCACTTTCTATGAAATCTTTCATGGCCGAGTGGTAAAGGATGCTAGATCAAATGGTAATTTCCCCTACAATGTGGGATGCTGGCGGACACATTTTCTTTAATTAGATTTCTTAAGTGCACAGGCCAAGAGATTTAATACACACTGTTAAATAAACAGATAAAAATGGGGTGTATTTCAAATAAGAAGTGTCCACTATAATAATGTTTGAATAAAAATGTCAGATTAAAAATAAATCTATTAATTCTTTATATATAAAATCTGATGAAATTATGATCAAACTTTAAACTATACTCAGATAGAGGCATTTTTACTCATGAATATCTGGTTTTTGTTATTGCTATGGAAACTAAATGCAATAAACTTGCATAAATATCACATTATATTGTAAACATAACTTCAACAAAGATGAAACTGTAATAAATCACAACAATTATGTAACAGAATCATGGGATAGTAATTCTGATGAATTCTAATAAAGCAATAAGATGAAAAAAAAATGCTAACTTCTTGTTTTTGACATTTTGCCAGCAAAATTAAGACTGAAGACAATGAAATACCTCAGCAAAATCCAGGAAGACAATTACTAAAGACATCACAGTTATCCACTAATAACTCAATAAATCATATTTTCTGCTAAATGATTGCAAAAGTCAAATCTCGTCACTAAACTACTTTGTTGATACATTCCATAGTAACAGAAAGAAATACCTTAAAAAATTGAATGTTTATATCCCAATTTTTTTTTTTTTACTGATAGTTTACCCAATGCAAAGCCCAAGGGTCACTCAAGGTAGAGGGTTACTGAGTGAGAATGTAAGTGAGGGGAAAGTAAGAGAGTATTATAAGGATGAGTAGATATCAGTTGACCCTGAACATAAAAAGACCAAGATTATAGTTGTCATGGAAACATTCTTGGAGGTGTTTGTTCCACAACGTAACAGTTCTGGGTCTGAGAGGAACTTACTTTTTATCAAAGGAATAAAGGAATGGGGATAGTTTGTCATGGCAAACACAACATGATGGGTTCTAACTGTGAAAGTCTGAGCTGGTGGTACAAAGGAATGCTGGAAAGTAAATATGTCTCTGGAAGCCAAGGTGCCACAGACTAATGTAACCAATGTAATTCTTCTATAGCAGTTCCTGTATTTATTCAGAGGCCAACATTTCAAGTGTCAGAGAAAATATAAAACCTATTGTGATCCTTGCAATATGATATGCTGCCTTCAAAACACAGATTAGCAGCAGTTTTGCAAGTATTGCCACTTCTAATGATTTTTTATTACACACACTACTTTTATATACTATGTCCCTTAAAAACATAGGTGATCACGGCTCTCCAAAACTTCATCATGTGGCTCTTAGTAGGGTTAACATATAGGTGTACAACATTGTTCTAAAATCTAATGTCATCAACTGGAGCAGCAACAGAAGGCATATCCACTTTCCTTTGAAATGATTTATCAACATTAACACAGACAAAATTTATTTTAATTTGTAATAAAAAGATAATTAAAATTCTTAAAAGAAAATTATTTTTCTTTTTATTATAATTTAACATTTAATGAGGTGTCTGAGCTTGACATTTCTTAGAATATCATCTTTGCAAAAATTCTCATATAATCAGTTTAAAGGGGGTTTTGATATGTGCACTTACTGTGCTTTGAACTTCTTTTAAAAATAATTAATGACCTTTAAAAAATTTTGTGGCACACCTACAATCCCCTCATGACACAACTGTGTGCTGTGGCACACCAGTTGAAAATCACTGATCTACAGCATCATGATCATCTAATCACAGTTTTGATTCAAAGCCAACAAAGAGATGTCACTTTTCAAGATAAAAGTAATTTAAGGAAAGTATCTTTTAGTTTATTAATTTCATTTTAGCTTGGCAAATGACCATGAAACTTTAAGTATATAAAAATAAAAAGATCACAATTCATTTATATATCATTCTATTCATTTAGCAAAGAGACTGTAATTTTGAAAATGTATTTTCATTTGAAAAAGTTACATTATCAAGATACATGTACATGTGTACACCAGTATACTGAATTAATGTATAACTCCCCTAATAAAATAAATTTCATGAAGAAATTTTGATGCATGTATATACACATATATGATTTTTTTTATAAGCATCTATACTCAAATTTGATTAAAATCTAAGCAACTGTGAAGGTTAAGCAACTTAAAAAAATAGAAAAACCTGTAAACTTAAACAAAATAGTCATTAAATTATTTTATACTGTATTCAAGAATTCTGCTAATTCATTCTTCTAGTTTAGTTACAGTGAAATACCTTTTTTAAAATAATTGTGTTATATATGATAAAAATTATAATCTTAAGGTATGCTATATATATGAATAAAAGTGCTTAATATCAAGGATAGAGTGTGTAAAGGTAAAAGTGAATATTAAAGTTAACACCCAAATGCAACAGCCAGTTTCATGCTTGAATACAACTTTCAGGCTCATTATATATATATATATATATATATATATATACACACACACACAGTTAAGTCAGTTTCCATAGTTAATGATTAATAAAGCAATTATTTCACACAAATATTTTACATGATGTTTCTTTGACAATGTATTTAATTCAGTGAAGAAAATTAATCACAGATTGAAAATTACAGTGAAAAATTTAGCTAATAACTCAATGCCAGGCTATGAACTTATTGATAAAAACATACACACACACACATATATATATATATATATGAAATATACTGTTCTGAAATTTGATTATTGATTTCTATCTTGGTTCTCATTTCTCTTCTCAGTTTTTCCCCTCTTACCATTTTCTGCAGAGCTGAAAATTACAACAGAACTTTTTACATATATATTAATCTTTAAGGAAAAAATATATTTGGCTTCCAGATTCGATGCTATTAGTTTTTGTCAGTTTCCGAGATAAACTTCAGCACATGATTCTTATTCTTCTAAAAACTTAATAGCCAAAAACTAACATTAAAGAGCATTATTTGCATTGAATAACACTGTGTACTTATTAACAAATTAAGGCTCCCAGCTACAAAATTGATAATGAAGCAAATAAAATGTCCTTATTAAAATCATACAAATTAATCTGTTTGCGATTATAAAAACCTGCATAACATAAAAATCTGAATATCAAAATGTCTGAAATATGAAATCCTTTTTTTTATTATTAATTCTTTTTTATGGCTTATCAACCCTTTGCAGGTTATTTAAAACCAGAAAATATATTTAGATTATAAAAATTTTTTTTTGCTTGCAGTGGTGGGGAGGGGGGAGATAATGATTGACTGATACTAGTCTTACTAATTAATACATATCTGGTGGAGAAAAGATTCACACCTTTTCCAAGGGTATTTACACCTAAGTGAATATAACAAATCAAACTGGAATTGGAACTCAGCTTTCTGATTAACAATTCTGAGCTATTACCCATTACACCACCCCCACGGCCAAGCTTACAGCATCTGATATTCCCAAACAGTCACCCATCTAGGTACTGATCAGGTTCGATGTTGCTTAACTTTGGGGATCATACAAGAACTGGTATTTCAACTTGGTATGGCCATAAGTATAGATGTCTTGAGGATAAAGAAATCCTAATTGTAACAAAGAAAAAGCAATAGACTAAAATAAGTGGACTGCTGTCATAGGTCAACAAAAAACAAAGATAATATGACAATGGGAAAAAGCTGTGCTGATATTTTTTGCTTCTTCATAGAGGTGTCTTCAAGTTGGAATGAGCGACAAAACCAATGTAAGCATTAGAAATTTTGAAGGAAAGGTATTAAATATCTTTATCAGATGCTATGGAGAGAAAGTTTCTTTTTTTTCTTCTTTTTTTCTATACTAAAGCCATTAACATCTGCTACATTTGAAATTAACCTATAGTGAGTAGATCTTGTTTTTTTTTTTCCTATTAGTTTGTATACAGCATTGTGCTACTAATTCTTTTGTGATGATTGGTAATGTTGCATATGAGCCCAGTTTGAGGTTGTCTATAGAGAATTATGAGATCAGTGCACTGCAAATGTGTTTTCTTCTTAGAGAATTCTTTTCTAGTATAATTTTCATCTTCACTGTCTGGAGAGCTTTTCCATTTGATCACATTATCCCCACCTTATTCAGATACTATTCTACATCTTAGTAACATGCATCAACAAGAAGTACAAAGTAGTGTAACTGTTATCAACTCAGAAAATGGAATAGGCCGACTGAGTTCAAATTCCAGTCTTGACAACCTACAAAAAGTTTGGACTAAAATCTATCAGACTCTATAACAGATTTCAGGTATAATAGGGAGCTGATAGTATAGCAACAGTCTTTTTTTTTTTCTTCACATGTTTTTGCTGATGATTAGTCAATCTTAATACTTATTTAGAACCAAAAGGTCCAGCCTTAAAATGAACATACAACTTAAAAATTGATGTTCAACCCATTTATCAAAACTTGACCAAGCATTTCAAGAAATGTAATAGTAGATTGGTCAAGCTTTACATAAAAATAGATGCAGACACCTTGATCAGAGTCATCAAGATCACAAGATTTGTTCCTACATATTACAAAATGTAGCATAAAAATTTTTATAGAAATAGATAGCACAAATCCTACTAGCAAAATGATTCTGCTGGCTTGTTATACTTAACATCAGGAAGAGGCAGCTGAAGTTTCTGGGACACATGAGGAAAGAGTGCCTGAAGAATCTGATACTCACAAGTTGAATATAGGGAAAAAGAGACAATGGAAATCAATGCATGACATACCTGGTGGGCTTAAGCAAACAGATGACAGAATGTGGTCTGGGGGAGGAAGTAGAGGGAAGGAACTTGTTGAGAGCTGCAAGGGATAGAGGGAGGTGGAGAGCCATGATCGCCTAGGTCCTGAAAGGACATGGCACATGAAAAGAAAAGTTTTGGTACCAAGAAGCATTAGTTTTATATACATTTCCATTGAACAATAAAAAAAAAAAAAAACACAGTCCCACTGCCAGTCATCTCGAACATCTTAATACTAAGGTTCAACATTCCATGTTTCCAACATGTGCAATTTTTTCACTGGAAAAATTTTTTAAAGCTTCCTAATTGATTGTGAAGAAAAATGAGGATGGGGTAGGAAATAGAAAACTTGTGCATGTGCATACATATCTCCAGGCTGGAATTTTTATCAAGCATTATCAAATTGAAAAAGGACATATTTAATACATCTCCAAGTACATTTCATATTTTATGAAAAAAAATTCATTTTTAGGTTTTAGGTTTTTGGCAATCTTCCACATTTTAGCATATAAAAAAACAATGTCAAAAGGACAATTTTTTTCCACAACACCTCTTTTATTTATCAACCTTCACTCCTCAGCAATGTTTATTGTTTTAAAAAGTGATGATCAGAATTGTAATAAACCTACATATATGATGAAAATGAATTCATACATTTTTTTGTTTGAGAATTGACAACTAAAATATTCAACACTATTTTTTTAGATTATTTACAACATTATAAAAACTAATACAATTAAAACTAATGCAATGTAATATTTATCATTTACCAATTTATAAAGAACTAAATATAAAAACAATTTTTTATTCATAAGTTTATAAATATTTACAAAGAAAATGTATAAATTTACTTTCATATGATTAGATTTCATTATAATTGTAATTATCACTTTTTAAAACAATAAACATTGCCAAGGAGTGAAGGCAGTCAAAATAATAGCAGCGTCAATGGAAAAATTATTCTTTTGACACTTCATTTTTTTTTTTTTTTTTTTTGAGCACAAAGGTCTGAGTTTGCTGAGAGATCTTTCTTCTAAACATGTTGTGAATGCCTGTGATAAAAGCTAAAAGAACTTATTAAAAGTATCAGGTAAATCAAGTCTTTGAAATTAAACTTTGTCATGCAGATATTTTTTGGCAACACTTGTACTTTTTAGCATATTCTGTACATGAAAATGTTTTTGCCATGAAGACTTGTATCAGGAATGGATATAAATGGATATCAGATCTACATTTTGATTTCTTATATACTTATCAACTGACATAATGAGCAGTATTCTAGTCAAAGAAAATGTCCTTGAGGCTAAGGATTTCATTTAAATGCTTTGGGACACTGTCAATGAAGTATTGCTCATCAATATCCCTGAAGACAAGCTGTAACTGAAGATACAATATATATTTGTTATTTTTTCCCCCTAAAATTCAGACAATGGCATGTGACAGCACAATGGAATAATGCCGTTTCAAAATGCTTTCCAACAAAGGTTTTGATCAGGAGGGGTATTTGAAAAAAAAACTAAAAAAACAACAAACTAGTAATAGCAACCATTTTGGTTTGTATGTCTTGTATGTCAATGTGAAATGACAACAACAGATATGAAAGCATCAATAAGTCTACTGCTCCTCCAGAAAATCAAAGGAAGATCAAATTTTTTTTTTACATAAGACAGAACTCTGATTTATATCACCAACCTAAGTTATCAATACATTCACCAAAAATTCAAAAAGTTTTCCCCTATATGAAATAGCATAGGAAATTCATCCAAGATTGTAGCCAGCATTAAAAGATTTTTTAGCAAAGTTTAACAAACATTAAAAAAAAAAAAAAAAAACACTGTGTCAAAAGATATTTTTTCTCTTGATACTGCTGTTAGTGTATACTCCCTAACATGCTGATGTTAGGGAGTATACACTAACAGCGGTATTTTAGTTTTAAAAAGATTTTTTTTAGATTTTTAATAAAGCCTAAATATATGAAACAGGATTTATGCATTTTCTTTTTTCTGAAGAATTGACAACAAACATATTAAACAATATTTCCAAAATTATAAAAATATGTGAACCAACTAGAATGTAAAAAATATTTTTTACTATATTATAAAGAAATAACTATAAAAATAATTTTTTTTATTCATAAACTTATAAAAATGTTTAGAACAAGAGAACAAGAAAATTTAAATTAACATTTAATGAATAATGAATAACTAATTATAAATTTTGATAAAATGCATTTTCTGAGCATTTCTTTTGTTTGCTCTTGCAATTTTTTTTTAAAAGATTGAAAACATCTTAATTTATACATGCAAATTTTTTTTTTTTTTTTAAAGCATTTCACCCCAAGCAAGGTGAGAGTGCTACTAACATGCAAGGGGTTACAGAGAGTGGGAGCAAGAGTAAAATGGCGTGATAGAGGAAAGGATGAAGAGAAGGATGGAAAATAGATCAAGGCATCTGGAGATGTTGACTGACATTGCATTTGAATATTTGGAGATTATGGCTACCAGGGAAGCAAGTAAGAGGAAGCGAGTTACACAGATGGGAAGTACAAGACATGAAACTACTGGAGTAGAAGAGATGGCAATATTTTACCATTTTGACAATGAAAGGGTGGGACTGTGATGTCAACCTAGTAGCACATTTAAATTCATGCAGTTTCAGAACCAACGAAAGTAGCTCATTGAAGCAGTTACTGTGAAAGTATTTGTAGAAAAAACAGAAGGGAGCAACAGCACATCTGTGAGAGAGCAACTGTAAATGAGATACCAGATCAGGGCCAATCACATTCTTTTCAAAGTTTAGCAAAAGTCATCCTTTTGACACAGTTTTTTGTGTTTTTTTTTCAAAAGGTACATTTGTTAAACTTTACTGATTATTTTCTTCTGAGCTTCATATTTGGATGAAGCATTTGAAAATGCAGAATTTCAAATGAGTTCAGAAGTTTCAAAATGGTCATATTAAAATTTTACCATTTCAAATGTCAAAACCTGTTGATGTTTATTTTAAAGAAAATAGCAATAGGGAGGTTCAGATTAAAAAACAAAAAAAATCAAAAATTCAGTCACATCTGTTTTAGATTACACAAAAGCATTTGATAACATACACCACACAAATCTGTTGGAACTGCTCAGCAACCTTGATATATTTGGGAAAATTATTAAAATAATCAAGAACCTATACTGGCAGCAAACTGCCTGTATACAGATAGAAAATGAGTTCAGCAGATGTAAAAAAATAGAAAGGGGTGTAACACAAGGATGTGTCTTATCACCAGACTTATTCGACCTATACAGTGAAATGATTCCGAGAAAATAAGTCCTACCAGGATTTATTATTGGTAGCCACAATCTTAACATAAGATATGAAGATGATAGTGCTGATAGCAGACATAGAAAGAAAGCTACAACACCTTCAGAAGGTAGTGAAGGAAAGTGAGAAGAAAGGATTAAACATCAATTGCAAGAAAACAGAATGCATGGTTTTTAGCAAAAGAATGAGCCTATAGTGCAAATTGTAAATCAGAGATACTAAAAACAAACAAGTGTAGCAACTTAAATATCTGGGAAGTGTTTTAGCAGAGGACAGAAAATGTGTCACTGAAATCTGAAAGTATATTGGGATAACCGAGGAAGTATTCAAAAAGCTAAGCAGAGTATTAAGAAATAGAAAAATTTTGCTAGAAACAAATAAAAGAGTACTAAACTGCTTGATATTTGTTCACCTGTATGGTGGCAAGTAGAGCATGATCTCCTCAAAGATGAAGAGGAGACTTGAAGCAACAGAAATGTGATTCTACAG